TCTCAACGCTACCATCTTTCAGGCTGCAGACCATGTGACTACTATATTGGGCTGACTGTTCGTTGCCTGAGGCTTACCTTAGTAGGCATTCCCATATGTGTGGCATCTCTAACATCCTGGGGTCTCCACTGCATCTTCAACTTCACTCAAAGCTTCCCAATCACATCAGTTTGCTTGCAGGGTCTACAGTCCTGCCAAACATTGCCTCACCTCCCATGCTTTCCTTTGAGATTCTAGTGAAAGGTTCCATGACCCTACAAGTCTTACATATTGCAAATCCAGCATCAAGAAGTAGCTGACATTCTTGGAGCACAGCTGTAGCAGCCTCTGATTGCCTGGATGGCTGAACATGAGGGAATAATCCTAGTGAAACAATTCCCTTGGTGTCACTCTGCAAGCAGAATATTCCAGGGAATTCTTCTCAAGAAAAGTTTTTGAAATGAATTTACATTTCTACATTATTGAGCCTATGGTAGGTAAGGTCTTGCCAATTTCTGAGACACGCATCTTTGCTACCATTTCAGTGCAAAGTACTTGACTTCTTTTTAATGGTGTTACTCTTTGGCAACCACACTTTCCAGGACACAACTTTAAACAGGCTTCTTTGGCCAAACTGCAAGTTTTTCAAATCTTTCCACTTCATTTTTGCTCCCAATTCTATCAGCAATACCCACTGCCTGAGTGCTGTGTTGCTTCAAATTTCCTCCCCAGATAAACTAGTATATCACCTTTAAATACAGTCTCACACAGAGTATCTGGAAATGGACAAAATGCATTCCAGTTCTTTGCTTCAGTGTAAAGAATATGACTTCTAGTCCAATTTCCAGGATACTCTTATTTCCATCTGAAACTCATGAGCATAAACTTTTCTATCATTTCTGTCAGCATTCTGGTCTTCTCAGCCCCTACCAGAATCACGTCAGGCCCTGCTTGTAGCATTCCAGGCTTTCTCTATCCTGCTTCTCCAAAATTCCAAATTTCTCTTGCAAACAATTCCAAAAGCTTCTGAATCACATTGTCAGATATAGTTGCAGCCATGACCTCATTTGTCAGTACTAATTTTCTACTAGTGAGTTTTCCATCACTGTGACAAAATACTTGAGATAATCAATTTATAAGGAGGAAAGATTTATTGTGGCYCAAAGTATCAAAGGCTTTATTCCATGGTAACTTGGTCCAGCATCTTGGGCATGTGGTGAGGCAGACTATATTTCCTCATGAGTAAGAACTTCCTCATTCATGTTCAAAGACACAGGCAGCAGGAAAAAATATTTTTTAAAAGTATAACAGATAAACATCCGACTATGATTTATAACCCAAGTGTACAATAGAACTTGAAAGGATGTTTTGTCTGGTATAGAATGTTTTATACAATAATTTCTGTATTGTTCATGGTTTTGATATATCTTATAAAAATCTATCTTCCATCTAAAAAAAAAAGAACTTCCTCATTTAAATTTTCTTGGCCAGTGCTCACTAAAACTTTTTTTTTTTTTTTTTTTGAGTGAATGAATTCTAGTGACCAACTTCAACTCAGGAACATACTGGAGTTATTCACCTCTGAAATGTTAAGTCTTACTCTCCCATTTTTTTACCCCAAATTACTCTTTCCAGTGCTCTCATACTTAATATAATGAGTAGAAGAAAGTGGTCTCACTTCATTTCTTCTTCATTTGGCCTAGACATGTCAGCAACTTACTCTAAAACAGTTAAGAGGATAGGGGATGTTCTTTGTGAATGACAAGGTTTGTCAATGAAGCAGATTAGAATGGTGGACAATGAAATAGACACACCTGCACAATTAAAAATGGAGATGGAAGATACAATTGATGTGTTCCAATAGCAGACAGGAAATGTCTACTAAAAAGGGAATCTCCTGCTTTATTCCAGAATTATGTTCCTGCAAACCAAAAATACATTCTCAGTTAGATTCTACTATAATTCAACTACAATTTGGTTTACTTCAGCTTGACTACTAATGATATAGTTTTCTTTATTTTTTATTTCCCCTTTCCCAAATCATTAATGAACATAAATAAATTGTTATACGTGCACAAGCATATTGCTTTTTTTAACATTTTAAAAATTTATTTGATTTTAAACTGATACATAAAACAAGAACACTATATATATATAAATGGGATCTGTGTGATATTTTGATATATGTATGCATTGTATAATGTGTCAGGTTGAACGTATATATCCCCTCCAACATTTATAATTTATTTTTTTGTCTATAAAGTAAATGTTTTGATCAACATCACAGGGGAAAATATTGGTTCTGTTCAAAACCCTTCTTTGTTAGTGAGTGTCATATTCACTTAACTCTTTATATTCCAAATCATTTTGCTCTATTTTCATATACACACCCACCCCCAAATCCTTGCACATCTTGTCTGGAGGGTTTTTGTTGTTTCATTTATCATTGCAAAAGCAAGTTTATTTATTTATTTATTAATGTTCTGGGGATTGAACCCAGGGACACTGTACCACTGAGCTCTTTTAAAACTTGTGGTTCAGTGGTAGACCACTCGCCCGACATGTGTGAGGCCCTGGGTTCAATCCTCAGCACCAGATATAAATAAATAAAACAAAAGATTCATTGCAACTAAAAAAAGAAATATTTAAAAAAAACAAAACAAAAAAACTTATCCTTAGCTCTTTTTTTTTTTTTTTTTTTTTTTTTTTTGAGACAGGATGTTGCTAAGTTACCTAGGTTGGCCATCCTGTTGCCTTAATTTCCTGAATAGCTGGGATTACAGGTATGGACCACCATGCCCAGGAACAATTTTATGACTTTTTTTGTATGCAACTGTTAAAATGTAGGTCAATTTGTCTATAAATAGGGATAAGTTTTTTAAAAAATCTTAATTTCCATACAAGTGTAGCACACCTGTAATCCCAGAGGGTAGGGAGGCTGAGACAGGAGGCTCATAAATTGAAAGCTAGCATCAGCAACTTAGTGAGGCCCTAAGCAATTTAGCAAGACCCTGTCTCAAAAATAAAAAGGGTTGGGGATATGGTTCAGTGTTTGAGCACYCCTGGGTTAAATCCCCATTTAAAAAAAAAAATCCTAGTTTCCCTTCAAGTCAATGTTACCTTCTTTAAAATTAAAAAAAAATTAATGAACTGTGACTCAATATCTCAATTTGATTTGAGCCTTTCTGTTCCTTGATCTCTGGGATGGCCTGACTAGTAGAGTACTTGGAAACTTCCGCTGACCCAAGATAATTTCCTATCCCAGGAAGTATTGCATAAATGAGATATCATTAAATCCACACAGTCTCAAAGAGGTTAAGTAACTTGCCCAAGAAAACAGCTAATAAATAAGGGAACTATAATTCATGCCCATGATGATACCGTTTCAGTGTCTATGTTTTCACTGAGTTCATTCATTTTTGTATTTTCAATAACCTAACATGATGCTTGGCACATAGTAGACAAATTCTTTGATAACATTAAGTAAATGAATGAATCCTCCTCTTAGTTTGTTTGCCATGGGGCCTATGTCTCCTTTTCCTAATAGAATTTATTTGACTATTATTTAAAATTAATATCTATAAAAATTTTCACCTAGCATTTAATCTCTACTAGTTGCTTTTAAGAAAGGTTTTCTTTCCCCATTCTAAGCTAGGTTTTAGAAGGGACTTTCAAACCATTTTCAAAGTTCACATAAAACTTCTACATTACTTTACCATACTTCAGACAGCTATTCACAAAACAGGTGCATGCATTTCAGCTTCAATCTACTTAAATTTCTTTCACCTTAATTTTGTTAAACCAAACKATTTTTTCTTTCTGTTGTAGTTATCTTTAGATAACTGAGAGCAGTAATTAGTAATTCAAACAAATTGTTGTCACGGTCAGTAGCCACTGTCTATTGCCCTTACAATACACAGGAGTGTTGCCCTCTCCACCACTTTAATCGCTRGCTTTGAAAAGAGAATGCAGCAGGGAGACTTTGGAGTCTACTACTTTTTAGCTGGATTATTCTTAATTACTTATCCTAGGGCTCAGTTTCTTCTTTTGTGATAGGAGGGAAACTGCTATATCTACCTTGCAGTCAAGTCCTGACATTAAATAATTTATATTTTTTTCTATAAGATGCCTGTTGTAGGTGCTGGCATTTTCTGAAAGCTCAATATTATTGATGGTTGAAWCATTTTCAAAGAGGTTTCAAAATACTGCCCTGAATTTAGTAGATTCTCCCCTTTCTCGTTCTCAAGCCCATTTCACACACACTTCCCCCGCAACCACTTCCTCTTTACGGTCGCTGAAATGCAAAACATGCCAACTTTTTCCATTAACTTTTAAACGCTGTGACTCCCCCTTCCCCACCGAGTCACACCTATCAGCGCGTTCTTCAAGCCTCACACTGTGGCACGCCCTCCAGCCGCCGGGCAGTCTCTCAGGACCAGCCAAGTCAGCGCAACCTACCGTGTTCTTGGGGCACCACTAGGGCTAGTTGTGGATTTCTGACCTGGCATGCGGGGCATCTACCAGGTGAGGAGAGCCGGGGGCGGGTCAAGAGCGGCYGGCAGCCGGCAGGCACCGCGTCCTCGCGCCAGAGGGCAGATGGATTGTGGAGGGCGGGGGCAGGAGGGGCGTGGCCCTGAGGAGAGATGGGCGTGGCCCAGAGGCGCGCTTTGAGTCCTTCCTTGGGAACGTGGGAGGTGAGGCCCGTTCAGTGAGGTGGGGCCAAAGATGGTGGGCGGAGCCCCGAGGCGGGGTGGGCAAAGCCGACCTGAGCAGGAGGCGACTCTCAGTGCAAAGAGGGGGACAGGTCCTACAATAGAGACCAATGTAGTGGAGACTCCCTCAGGCTGCAGGCTGAGGGGCGGGGCCAGCTGAGGTAGGCTGGCGACTGAGGTGGGCCGGGCCCTGAAGCGGGGCCGACCGAGGGTAGGGGGCGGTCCCCGAGGCAGGGGGCGGGTCCGGCTCAGTGGAGTGAGGCGGGGCCGGCCGAGGTAGGCGGTTCCCTGAGGCGGAGGCGGGGCGAAGCAGGCCTAGCTCAAGGAAAGTCCCTCCAAGCGCTTGGAAGAAAGCCCAGTCTGCGCAGAGGGGCGGGTTTTGGGGGCGCTAGGCGGGTCGGTCTTGGCCGACCCGCGGGTCATCTGKAGCTTGTCCTAGTTAGGTGCTGGCCTGCCGCACTCCGGCAGCTCTGACTGAGTCTGCGCGATGGGCGACCCGGAAAGGCCGGAAGCGGGCATGCCCGAGCAAGAWGAGGTAAATGTTGCTGTAGCTTCAGCCTCCGTCTGGTGGTCACATCAGGCCTTGCATGACAGGTTGCGGCTGCAACCTGCAAATTGCAGGACCGTTGCAGGGAATTTTGTTCAGTGCTGTTAGAAACCCGGTGTAGGCCCTTGGGGTGCCCTAGCTGAACGACCGGGAGTTCGTCCCCGGGAAGAGGGAGCCGGTTTTCCTCTCCGCTAGGCTGCTCAGCTCTAGGGCCAGCCTAGGGCAGTGCTCGGAGGCTTCGGGCTGGGAAGAGGCGCAACCCCTTTGTTTATCCGTCTTCACTCTTCCCTTGTTCTGGAACCTTGGCCGGGAGTCTGAGGCAAGGAAGGGACTGTGGCGCACTGTAGCATCCCCGGAGTGGTTAAAACGAGTTGGAAAACGCGTATGGAAATTGACACAGATGGATGAGCTGGAAGTGACAGGTGGAAGGGAGACTGGAAATCTTCCTAACAATGAAAACAAATTAGATTAGGAGGCCAGATTGACTCACACCGAGCTACTTAACTGTGTATCGCTGGAGTGCCAGTTTCTTCATTTAAACAGTGGAAGGGATGCGTCCCTCACAGAGAAATAAGTGCTTTATGCAAAGTCGTAGGTACTTAATAAACCCAAGTTAATTTGCTCATTTTCTTTGCTTCTATACTAATAGAAGTACGTAAAATAGTAAATAAACTGGGAATTAGTTGATTGTAGGGTTGTATGGTAGTTTAAATGGTTGGTTGCTCTATAATTTGCATACCTTATCATTTTTTTTTTTTTTGCAAATACTTCTAAACCACTTGAAATGAGAGAAATACTTCTTGTACTTGATCCTGCTTCTGTGTGGAGTCTTAGACTTAATATTGTAATGATATGAAAAGAACTTGAAAGTCTCAGTTCGCTGCTTAGCCCTATATTTCTTTACAAAGTTGTAGATTCCAGGTTTGAGAYTTCATTTTATTTTGATTTTGCAAACATTTGATAACTAGCAAGTTGTAAATATCTCTTGAAACAAATACATTCTCCACTYCTGGAAAAACTTTGGTGTTTTGTTAATGGCATCTGTAGTCATGCTGACCTAACACCTGGGCAGTGTTTTATTTATTTATTTATTTATTTTATTTTATTTTATTTATTTTTTGGTACTGTGGATTGAACCCAGGGGCATTCTACTACTGAACTTCATCCCCAGCCCTTTTTATTGTGAGATGAGGTCTCACCAAGTTGCCAAGGCTGGCCTTGGAATTTGCAATTATCTTGCTTTAGCCCCCTGATTAGCTGGGAATAACAGGCCTATGCCCAGCTGGAAGTTAATCTTTCTATTACAAAGATAGGCAGAATTTTACTAAGCATCTTAGTACAAAGGTTTTCAAATTGATATGCAAAGATGCCTAAAGTATTTTATGTCTCAGAAGTGTTAGTGAGGCTTGGGCCATCTTCATTAATCACCTGGAGTACCTGTAAAAATGTTAATTACTGGGCCCTCACTCCGGATCTAGTAAATCAGTTTTAGAGTGGGTCTGCATTTAGACCTAAGAGTGCTGAGTCTACAAGCACCCTAGTGTTCCTAGTACACCTATTTTAAGAAACACTGCCACTGGGCATATTGGTGCATGCCTGTAACACTGGTGATTTGGGAGATTGAGGCCGGAGATTGCAAGTTCAAGGCCAGCCTCAACAATTTAGTGAGTCTCTAAGCAACTTAGACCCTTTCTCAAAATGAAGAATTAAAAGGGCTGTGGATACAGCCAAGCGGTTAAGTACCCCAGGTCATGAGAAATTCTCAGATAAGGTTCAATCCCCAGTACAAAACAAAAACAAAACCAAAAAACCTTATGAATAAAATATGACTATGACAGCATCTGAGTATTCTACTGGAGAAGAAGAGAGGTACAGGCAAATACCTGGGTATGGTGGAATTAGAGTTGGCTAGGAGGTAGGGGCCATTAGAATGCCAGCCTAGATCAGGACATAGTAAGTGCTTATGGGGAATCTTTTCTTAAAAAAAAAAAAATATATATATATATATATATATATAT